CGATAGCCGCTGCCTCTCACAGCACCATCACTGCGGCGACAGCGTTCGGACAAGCGACCCAGAACACCGCCATCCTCAGGTTCCGGACGACGGAGGAAAGCAGGATGAAGAGAGTTCTGTCGTGCCGCCGCAAGCGCAGGAGAGTCTGGTGGGCATGCCAAGTGTGTCGGGCGATGAGAGCGGCAACGAAGGTGAGCTGGCCAATACCGCGCCGTCCATACAGCCATCCGCCAGCCAAAACCAGGTCAACATTCAGCACATCGGTTGTCGTCGACGTCGTTGCGATATCGACGACAAGGAGGACTGCTCTCCCATTGTGGGAAGTAACACCAAGCAGGTCAAGGATAAGGATGGCGTCCAGCCGCCACGAGGGAAGCGTCGCAGGGTAAACACTTCGGCCCCTACAACCCGCAGAACAGCGCCCAAGCGGCAGACACGTCTGCGTCGCACCGACTCCCCTTCACTACAGGCTCAAAGACCACCAACAACTCAAGGCTTAAAGCGCCGCCAAAGTCAGCGCAGCATTTCCAAGCCGCGATCTTCAGCGGGGTCCGTTTTGGAAGAGGAGACAGTCGAGCTCGCTTCCGCAAGCTTTGAGGAATGGCCACTTGACGCGGTCCTCAAGCGCGTTTTGGTGGACGGGGTAGCGACTTTTCAGATGCAGTTCACGTGGAACCCTTGTACGATTCATGGACGAGATCACTACACACCGGAAACTCAGCGGCGCAAACCAACAGCAGAGCAGGCTTCCTCGACGGCGCGCGCTCGCCCTTCAAGAGTGACTTCCACGGTTCAGGAGGTTCAAAACGGCGACTATTTTCAAGTTGAGGACGTTCTGGACCGGCGACGGCGAAAAGGGCGGTCGGAGTACCTGGTCAAGTGGGCAGAATATGGGCATGAGCATAATAGCTGGGAGCCTGTCGCGCATTTCGAAAAATGTCCGGAGGTGCTACAGCAGTTCCATCAAAGAGTGGGATTATGACTGCTGGATGATGGTGGCCTGGACCTGCCTGTGGTAGGCAAGTGATTGACGCTGCCAGCGAGGAAGAGTGGGAGTAAAAGGAATCTGTCTCAATAGGAAAGGAAGCTGCATTAAAGGCCCAGAATTGCTTGTGAGATGGATGGTGGAGCGGAACAGAAGAGCGTTACGAGAATATGGTGGCGCCCGACAAGTCTGGGAGACTTCGTAGCCGAGTTGTATAGACTGTTTCCCTGGGTAAGTTCTCTAGCCATCCCGAGATATTTTCTTTCTTTTAATAGGAGTTGACCTTAGACCGCGGTGACGGGCAACCTGGATTCCCCAAGGGCATGTGAACCCGTTAGAGCTGGACAGACAGCGATCGCTGAAGCTTTTCGAAGTTGTGTATCTTTTCTGCCGCTCAGGTACGTATCTATTCTGCCGCTCCGGTACGTATCTTTTCTGCCGCTGAGGTACGTACCTTTTCTGCCACTTAGGTACGTACCTTTTCTGCCACCTAGGTACGTACCTTTTCTGCCGGTGGCGCAGATCGGTAACCCACGTGCTCGAAGCGGGTCTTCCTGTCCTGGTGTGTACAGCGATACCGAACACAGCAAGTATGATGCTGTCCAGCAACCACGACGCAAGCGCCGTAGGGTGAGCGCTACAACCCATACAGCTGGAGGAACTGTCCCTCAGCAGCAGATCCGTCCATACTCCGGCGACTCCCCATCGCGAGAGGCTCAGAGATCATCCCGACGCCCAAATCGCCGGCACGGACACGGCATCGGCAATCCGCATCGTCGCAAGGCTCTGCCTCGGAAGGGGACATTAAGACGGACCAACCCCCGGCAGCAACGTTCGACGAATTGCCCCTTGGCAGCGCGGTCCTCAAACGCGTTACAATGGACGGTTCGCCACCTACTTTTATGCTGCAGTTTGCCTAGAGTCCATGCACAGAAGTTGACAGAACACGCAGCGGGGTACCCTGGAATGGAAAATCGAGGCACCGTTTCCTCCGCAAGGAGGCATCGCCCGGCGAGGCACAGGAGTAAAGGGATCGCGAAGAACGAGGGCATCACATCAAACGCCATACCGACTTCAACTTCAAAGAGGGCGAGATACACGCCAGCGGATGACGCGAAGATCCGTCAGCTGAAGGAGCAAGGACTGTCTCGGACCGCGATCGCTGAGTACTTCCCGGGGCGGACTGCCGGGGCCATTGAGATGAGGTATCACACCAACCTTGAGACCGCCAATCCCTCTCAAAGTGGGTCTCGGCAATTGTTTGATCACTCTTGGGGGCAGCCTCCCCAGTCGTTGACGACGCCGGTGAGGAAGAGTGGGAGGTAGAGAAGATCTGTGACCACAGGGGGAAGGATGGCGGTGGCGTGGGACTGCTTGTGAGATGGAAAGGCGGAGAGGAAACATGGGACCCTACGAGAACGTGGCGGAAACGAGGCATTTGACGAGTATGAGCACCTTCATGGCCGGATTGGGTAAATATTGCCTGAAGTATTGCCTTTGTAACTTCTCTGGTCATCTACATTAGGCTGTAGGCGACAGGTAACGTGGAATCCCAATGGCTTATAAGCGTATGTACCCCAAGATGCCATAGTTCTAACAGAGGAAGGGATTGTCCACGATTCCTTAGCCTAATGTCTATGGCATGTTTGTGAGCGAGGAGAGAGTCTGTAGGAGGTACTACATTTTCTACCATTTTCGTAGTACCCTTTTAGCCGTTAAGTACGTACGTACCTTTTCTGCCACTAGGTACGTACCCTTTCTGCCAATAGGTACGTACCTTTTCTGCCATTAGGTACGTACCCTTTCTGCCATTAGGTACGTACCTTCTCTGCCAGTCAGGTACGTACCTTTTCTGCCAGATAGATACGTACCTTTTCTGCCAGCTAGGTACGTACCTTTTCTGCCAGCTAGGTACGTACCTTTTCTGCCAGTTAGGTACGTACCTTTTCTGCCAGTTAGGTACGTACCTTTTCTGCCAATCAATGAAAGTGCTAACGTAGCTCGGCTCAAACCACGGGCAGCGGAGACGCAACTCAGGGCGTTCTCTAGAGTTATTGTCTATTTCATCTAAGGTTCTACATGCGAATCGGGCCCAGCCAGCCCCGGCTGAATTTGCGTGTAATCCAGGACAGGCATCCGTTCTCGACAACACGATGCGCGACATTACCTCTAGAGACGAATGGCAGCGTCCCTTACCGAAGACGGGACCACACGCCATAGCCACGGATGGCGGCGCGGGGGGACATCGAATTATGAGGGTTCTAAAGGTCTGCTCAGCGGTGAGTGGGATAAGCGGTTCCTATACTCATGGCAGGCAATGCAGCGTCGGTTATGAGAGCTTTCGTGGCCGGCTTGTGTAGATATTGTCTAAGACGTCTGCCTTAGTGACTCCCCTATTCATCTCCATTTATCCTCTCGTAATGCAGTTGACCTCGCGGCCGGGGCGATGGGCAACTTTTTTACGTGCACAGAGGACCATTGTACGAGTGACGAGATGTATTGTTTGGAAGGTGATGTGCATCTTTTCTGCCGCTGAGGTACGTATCTATTCTGCCGCCCAGGTACGTATTTTTTCTGCCGCTCAGGAACGTTCCTTCTCTGCTACTCACCAATTAGTCGCCTGCATCGTGCTCGCCCCGCCATTTAAGGGTGCGCAAGCGGGTGATGTGGTGCTGTTGGAACGTGAACCCTGATCCAGGGGGTGCCAAGACGGACCCACATGTGGCTGGTGATAGACACCTTGGAGGCTGTCCGGAACATCCGACAGTTGAAAACAGAACACAGAACACAATCAACATCATGAACAACCAAATTGACATCCTCGTGACACTTTGCGACCAATGACCATTTTCCCTTCGTTTGCCCCGTAGCGGTTCCGACAGGTGCCAACGTCCTGCAGCCCTCATTAACTGCCACCCTGCTACACACACACACACGCACACACACACACACTTTTAACCCGAAAGGGCAACTATCACGCATCTACGGGTACATATCCTAAGATAAGTCCTCCTAGAGCCCATACGACCTCATTCTATGCGTTTTGTCCTCATTCTTCTGCCCTGCTCTACGTGTACTAGTGGGTTAGTGATAACAGTTCAACAACAATGGTAATCATATTGTCTCAGTGTCGTGTGCTCGAGGTTATATCTGCCGCGGTAAAAGTCCGCAGCCAATAATCTCTAATTGTAAGCGCACTCGGACGCCGATTTCAGTACCTAAGCCTAGTTAAACTTGTATAATCCAGGCCGCCTCCCTGCCCCCTCAAAGAGACCTATTTCCAGATCGTCACGCCTCGGCGCAACTGGACCATCGCTATGACGGGCACCAAGATCAGGCCAGCTTACACATCTGCAAAATTGACAACTGTTGCTACGAAGAGTACAAGAGCTAGATGAGATGTACGTACGACCAGACTCTGAGTGCTGGCCGGGAGTGCTCTGGCGTGACCATAGACATATAACAGGACCAGAGACATAAGCAGGTAAAAGCAGGAGCGGTAATCAGGCGGCAAGTACGCCAGCACTAAGGATCCACATTCAGTGACCGTTGCAGTGTCAAAGCGTGTCTAAGTTGAAGAAATATCTCGAAATCGCTAGAACTTAGCTAAGGAAGTTATAACTTCATGGGTCCTCCCATACCCTTCTCGTGGCACGCTATAAGAGAAGGATTAGAGAGAACAAGTGAGCAATTGAAAGGAAAGCGAAACGTCGGGAGACGAGAGAATATCAACACGATTGCTGAGAAATCGGATTGCAGTCAGCGAACGTGAGGAGCAAGATCCGGCCCGAAGAACAGCCGATTGCTACAACCGTTCCAGATATAGCTGAAGATGATGGGCGATACTCGGACGGTAGCCACAGCAGGTTTTCTCCTCGATACGTAATCCAGGCACGGTTGCTGCTGAGGCCGTATCCAACAACAATTGGTGATGAACGATCAGTAGAGACGCCTGAAACCAAATTTGCCACATTTTGTAAGTTGAATGTGCCAAGCTCGGGTACGTAGAAGGTCACGGTTAGATTCATGAAACTCGAGATTGTAAAGGGTGCGACCGATCTCGAGCGTCGACACGCACTGGCCGGTCGCCGGATCCCAGATCTGGACGGTCTTGTCGCATGACGCCGACGTCAGCCAGGTCGCATCGTGCGACCAGGCCACGGAGTAGACGAAGGCGCTATGGCCCTCGAGTGTCTGTAGGCATGCGCTCCAATTGTCCGCCATGGTCGGTTTTCGGATGATCCATTTGGGCTCCTCATTCTTGAACTGATTCCTCGTTATGCTACGGGCCGGGCTGAATACAAGTGCGGAAGCGTACACCTGAAGAGGGCTGTTCTCAATTGCCCACTTGTGGTAGAGGATAAACCGACATGCATCTCGGACTCGATTGATGAGATGTGATGTCTCTTTTCCTGCCTAATGAAACGCTAGTAAAGCTCCGACATCGCACTACTAAAAGCACACCTTAAACAAACCCTCAAGGCTCAGCATTGAAGCTACCCCATTTGCTAGGCTTTTCTGGAGGCTGAGAGCCTCAAGCCAGTGGAGATATTTCTCGCGCAAAAAGGTATCAATCGATCCGCCATCTGGAGGTCCTTGTTCGCGTTCTCCTTAGAATTACAATCACGCAGATGGTCAATCCAGTATACGCACGAGTACCGTACTGCGGCGAGCGGATCTGGATCGGGTGGTCTGACTTTGTCGATAGAGAACCCAGGAGCGCCAAGGTTGTAGATGTCGCGTCGCAATGTTATCCCCATGACACCAAGCGATCGCGAGAAGATGGTACGGTGTACGTCTTCTATCCCAGAAGGGAAGATCTCATCGCGCGCCTGTTTGAGCAAAAAGTCCTTGGCGGACTGATGGACGAAAGATATAGTGCGTTCGCGATCGCGGAGCTTCAGAAAAGAGCCGCAACGCCCTACAATATCTGCGAGATGTTTGTCATTGCCAGGAACGCGGTTGGGCGTATCCACGAGTGCCGGCAGTTCGTCCAATGTAATCGGTTGGCAAACGACTGAGATGACAGCTAATATTCTTTGAAGAAGGTTAGCATGGCTCGAGTGGTAGATCTGGTCCATCATCCGTCTATAGAGTGCGTCGAGTCCAGGTGGAATTGTTGTCAACAATTCCTTAGCTTCCCATTCTGAGGCGTTGGCGAGCTGTTTGCAGACCAAGGCTACCCAGAGGAAGGTGCCGTGTGCGTTCGCAGACAAGTAGCACTCGACATCGTCCCGCGTGTCATTGCTGTATTTATTTCGCTTCGCTAACACCTCCACCTTGACCCGGACGTATGTTGTGACAGCTGCGGAGACGGATTCTTCATTCAGCTCAAGACGCAGGTTTACTTTCCGCGTCGCGTTGTCAAGATCCTTCTCGATGCTCGGCCAGTTGCGACTGGATACGATCCACTTCACACTCGAGTCTTGGACTTCGCTGAATTCCGTCCGCCAGCTCGGAGCGATCTCCACCGCTTTTTGGCAGATGAAAAGCCCGCCATAACCTCCGTGATAATTTGCTAGGAGGGCGGACTTGTTCGCTGGTGCCGTATGATCGTGTGGTGAAGTTGGCGTTGCATTTGGGGCGTTCGCTGCAGGGGTTGAAGGGGAATGCGCGTGGGGCTGATCCTCGTGCCAATAGAAATTCACTGAGCATTTTACCTCACCAGCGGCCCATACCAGACCGCTTCCGCTCGTTCACAATAGCTTCGACTCGCCAGAGCAGGAGATGGGAGATCGTGAAGTTGCATAGAGCAGATAGAGGAAGATTTGGCTGCTTGACGTGGGGATTTGACCCAGATGCAAAGTCCATGGAGTGGGCTTCGCACCAGGCTCACTACCAGCCATCAATTAACGGTCACGTGGCAGCTCCACCGCTCGGCCACTGGCTTGTGACCAAATTCTGAATGCAAGCATATTGTACCCCGTGGCAACCGTAATTATGGCACGGAATCTTGCTCTCTCACAACTGATCAGACTGAGACATCATCTGTAGTTGCAATTAGTCGTTAATCTGAGGGTTATTATTTCCAGTGATTGCAGGATAGAAGAATGCATGAACTTAAACAGTATACGGATCCGTATCATCTAGGGAGATAGGCAAAGCGATTTGGCCCGCAAGCCAGGTACTGCCTCAGGAAGGTACAAGCGGGGTTCCACGAGGACCCACAGCGCCAAAACAAAATGGCTTGTGGACCGTGCGCTGAGAATCGAGCAACACGTCTGGAGCGGAAGGCAATTTCGCGAATATCTAGCGCTTAGTTATTTCAGACTGGCGCTTATTTAAAATAATCTACCATTCACCTGCTCATACAAGCACATCGAGATGTATTAGCATGACTTAGAAAGCTATACATATAATGTAATTTAAAAATAACGACTGATTAATATGGAAGCTCCAGTTATATAAGAGGACGCACTATATCCTCTCCCCCTCCTTGGTGTATTGGTTTTTTGTAACTCCAAACATGACAGAACCGATGCAACCTACGCTACCCAGGCGGGACAGAACCAACGAGAATTTCCTAAGAGCGACCAAAAACATTATGCATAGGTGTGACGATATCAGTCGTCGTTATGGAGCCGACGTCTACATCGTGTTACGTCGTAAGGGTCGTTACTACGACTACTCTTCCTCTAGAGATCCTTCCTTTCCATTGTCATCCGCAGAGATCGTATGGACACAAACACGTTAAGGCCCGCTGGCTCAGTGGCTTACTATAGTATAGGAAAGAACCTACCCTGTACCGGTCAGGAAAACGCCGGTTGACATTGAGCGACGAAAGCAAAGGTCGTCAGAGACAGGGGTGACCCAGCAAGTGGCTATGGACCCTGATTCTATAGGAGGATAGTATATCATTGGAGAGTAACTCAGGGCCATGCAGTAAAACGGATACTTATCACTAGTTAGTTGCAAGATATTTGCTCCCTGAAGTAATAAACTACCTGTCACGGCCCCCACTATGAGCCCTACACCTGGGCTATTGGCAGGCGAGACACTGTGGATTTCATGACGAAGAGAACATGACTCGCAACAGAGGGAGGATATCTGGAGAGCGGGAGACTCAGATTGGAACTTGGAACTTCCCTCTCTCAAGGATCAGTCAGTTGGTCAGTGGTGCACACACGATACAGTCGTCTTGCCTGTGTCTCGTTGTGGATTCGGTGCATCTTCCTTGGTGAACCTGTGTGTGTCACCTTACACTACCCCGAGTCGACTGTATCGTACATAGTTCGTGGCTTTGAAGACAGCCTTGCGAATTGTTGGATTCTATATCCTGATCTGGCGTTGGCGTCTACCCGTACATAAAAAAGGACATGTGACAAGCAGAGCCCGGTGGAGGCCTTGGAAGCCCTCAGCGATAGCAAGCCCACGTGGAGCCTGCAGACCTACCTGCAGCGTGCCCAACGATGAGCATGGCGTCTACGTGTGGTATACAAAGCATCCCTCCATACCACATGGTTTTGTTGTCACCTTCTTTTCCTCTCCAATTCTGGGTATACTCGGCGGAGTCCCCCATATAGCCCGCTACATATACACGCTCTTCTAACGGTCTCAGGTAGTATGTTGCAACTAGCTGATGACGACTCTACGAGTACACTGAACTTGGAGAAGAAAAGGAGAGACGACAGACTCTGGTAGCTCGCAAGCATACTTATCCTCGTAGGCGCGCTGGTCTGAGCGCGTTGCTAGAAGGTTCGGTGTGCTGTGGGGCGAGTGGGAATGGCCTCATCAGGGGTTTTGGTGTTGGCCGAGAGTCGCCGAGGCTCACACCGGGCCCAGCCCGTTACACTCTGACCGTCACGGTACGCACCGGTTGAGCAATGGATGCCGGGAAGGAATAATCGAGAGAATCGTAGAGGGAACTGATAAGCAAGGTAGGGAGCGAAGTGGCGATGATCAAGATCTGGCGAAAGAAAGAGTGTAATGGTGGTGTGGCAGGCATCGAGGTCAGGTTAGCTCGCACTTATAATGATATTGCTACAGAGAGCAAGATGACAAGTGTAGGCGTGCGATCAGACCTCAAGTACTGGAGCAGAGACCTACGAGATAACCAGAGACGAGCTCCTGGCTCGGTGTGCCACCCCTTTCAACACTCTTTCAACACTCTTTCAACACTCTTTCAACACCCTTTTAACACCCTTTCAACACTCCTAGATTGCCTCGGAATGCAGCACTGTATGTGGAATGCCATGTGGCTGTTCCCAAGGAAACTACATGCTGCTTTACTATGAGAGGGTTGTTCTGCGCTAAACCTAGGCCACTCCCTGGACTTCGGTGTGTTTTACACCCATACACCTGCCGCAGCCTATAAAAGATCTCTGGGGAGCCATATAGCCTTTGTATCACTTGCTGTACCTTCGCCTCGCATTATTCTGTAGGATACTGACGGCAGGGGTCTGGTTGCCCCTTAGCCCATGGTCCAAGTGGGGTTAGAAGTTCCGCCGTTTGCTGACGTTTAACTGAAACGCTGTATGCCTTATCCGTCCCTTCTGTCTGCTGAAAACGGAGGCGCTGTTCCATTGATACAATACAATACAATTTATTGACGCCCGGCGGGTAACCCGAAAGGGCAGCTATTACAATCTGACTATACATTTCCCAAGATATGCCCTGATCTCGTCAAAGCCCATACAAAGTTTCATTCTAGTTCATGTCCCCTCTTATACCATTTCTCTGCGGATTCTCGTGGGTTAGTAGGATTGTTAGCAGGCTTGCTTGAAGGCGATTCTCCAAGTGTTCAACGTCCTATCTTCAGCGGCTGAAGCGGTGTCCGCTGTCCGTAGCACGAGGTGAGGGGGTGTAGGTTCGGTCGGTGTGGTGGGTTAGGTGTCTTAGTCGGCGTGCGGTTGGTTCGTGTCAAGCCGGCCCGTGGCCATTGCGAACCGTATCGTTGCCCGAACGGCCGTCATGTTAGGAATCCAATCTTTCTTATCCGATGGCGACTTCCCTCCTAGATAGAAGGAAATGTTGCTCCTATGGGTGTCTGTACATTCGAGCATCTCTGATCGGTATGCTGTCCAGTTTCTGCATCGGAAGAGGAAGTGGTCCACTGTCTCTGTTGCTTGTCCGCATGCGCACTGATCTGACGGAGCTGCTCCAATCCGGTGGAGGTAACCGTTGAGTCTTGCCATGCCTGTTCTGAGCTGAGCGAGTACGCCAGCCTCCTTTCGTGACAGATGGTCGTACAGCAGTCGGGTGTGTTTGCCTGGTAGTGCTGCGTCGACTCGCTTGGAATGAGCTCCGACTTTGTCTGGCAGCTGATTGCTGGTGCTTCTCTTGGACCATGCTACGTTGAGCGTTGTTGAGCGTGTCCTGGGCATTTGCGTCTGCGGAGTGGCACCCTGTCTAGTGGCGTGTTTGGCATTCTTCTTAGCGGCTTCCCAAAGCTTGTCCTCTTCGCCCGCAGGGAGCCACCGTATTGTTACTGTGTTCCCGTTCCTGCGTAGTGCTCTGATTGACTCGTAGATATGGCCGATGTGCTGTTGGCCAGACTGCTGTCGTGGCTGTCGGAGCGTGAGAACGGCCGCTCTATTTCGCGTTGAGAGCTCAATACGGCTAGATCTGAGCGCTGGCAGCGTGCCCAACGCTCGTTCCATCGCTGCCAGCTCCCCGGAGTATGGGTTCTGTTCTGATCTCGGACCCAGCGTAGAGGAGAAGGTCCCAAGCTTTGGGCTGCCGTACACGGACGGCGGCAGCATCGCAGCTCCGCCAACTCCCACCAGGTCGTTTCGCGCCGAGCTGCTTACGGCAATGCGTACATCGTAGTTGACGTCCCGCTGTGTTGTCGTCAACTCGTTTGTGATGGTCTGTACGCGGTTCTCCCACGGTGCCAATGTAAACGGGTTGATGGTTTCCAACTCGTCCATTGCGATGCCTTTGAGTGCGTCTGCCACCTGGTAGAGTGGCGAGCGGTGTTTCTGAAATTTTCGCACCCGAGAAATGTTTCTGCGCAATGGGTTGGTGTCTGGCAGTGTGTGAATGCCCGTCCAGAGCTTGATGGCTCGCTTCCAGAATCGATCTTGTGCGGTGGTGATATGGGCTTCCGCTTCCGCCACGCTCGTTGATACCGTGAGGAAGGTCCCCACGATCGCTTGCGCCGCCATTCTCTGGACCCTGTTGATAGGTCCCACGAGTTTGTTTTTGTATGCGTGCATCCACACATTGGAGGCGTAGTCCACCACCGGGACGACTGTGGATGTAAACAACTGCCGTGCCGTTGATGTAGACAGTCCTCGAAGATGTCGTAATTCCATTGCTGCCTCCAATCCCCTGGACGCAGCCTTCCAAATGTGTTCTTTGTACTTTAGTTTCGCATCCATAACCACTCCTAGGATCTTGACATGGTCCTGGGGCTCGACAGTCTGCCCCTTGATCATGAATGGTTGTGTGTCAGTCTTGTAGGTCTTACGAGTGAAGTGTATGATCCCCGTCTTCTGTATGTTGAATGTCGCACCGCTCCTTCTCTCCCAATCTAGGGCGTTCTTGATGATGGCTACAATGCTTTCCCGATTGCTCTGCGCCGTAGGTCCTGTGACCCACGCTGTGAAGTCGTCCACGAAGGCTATCGCTCCACCATGACTGTTGATTCGTCGTTGTACTAGGTCCGCATTGAAGAAGAGGAACAAGATCGGTGATAAGGGAGAACCTTGAGGTAGACCAGCCTGGGGTAGGCTTCGAACCTCAGAAGAATGCCCATTGACTTGGATAGTTGCTGTACGCTCCGAACAAAAAGCGTTTATCCATCGAAGCAGCTCCTCCGGGATGCCTCGTGCTTTCATCCGCTGAAGAAGTCTTTCCTTGCAGACTCCGTTGTAGGCCCCTTTCACGTCGAAAGTGATCAAGCTTGCTACCTTTCGACCTCGCCAGGCGGTGTATATTTGTTCTTGGAGGAGTAGGAGCGCTTGTTCCGCCGACCGTTGTTTGCGCGCTCCGAAGTGGTTGGTCGGGAGGAGCCCATACGTCTCGACCGCATGTGAGATCCTTTCTGCCACGACCGACTCCAGCAGCTTGCCGAGCGTTGCTAAAAGTGAAATCGGTCTCCAGGCCTTCGTAACAGTGTAGTCGTCCTTGCCGGGCTTCTTGAGCGGTATAATCTTGGCGTGCCGCCATTGAGTGGGCAGTGTACCGCCCTCCAGGGACGCTCGGAATAACGCGAGAATCCATTGATACAGTCACTAGCGAAATCGTCTTCCGCTTTTCACTCACTGTTCAATTGTCTGGGGGAAACCTTTTTAGGCTTCTTGGCGCTTACACTGTGCCTGCCTACGGTCTTCAGCACAGTCCAGCACAGTGCTCCACCACCTTGTTTACCTAAGCCAGGAACAAGACATCCACGTGGACAGTGTCCTGTTGCGTCGCGTCTGCCGTGTCTGTCTGCGGTGAGGCATCATTGGCCGCGGTTTCCGTTGTTCTCAGGCCCTCGTGGATCGAGATGATTGGATATGGACGCTCTGAGCTTGCTTCTTCGCACTGAGCTATAATTACAGTTCCAACTTCAACTTCCTCACACCAGCATTTGGCCATCGTCCAAGAGAACCACCTGCCGTCGTCCGATACGCAGCGCGCGAAGTAGCCTCCACTTGGGAGAGCCCCGCCAACGTTCCCCAGCATCCGCGACGGGGGAATTGTTTGATTCGCAAGCTCGGCCGCACAAGCTCCTCCGCCGATAGTCAGGACATGATTTCCAGCAACCTCAGTCAGGACATCTTTTTACAGTCTCTGGCGAAATCGGCTTCCGCTTTTCACTCACTGTTCAATTGTCTGGAGAACCCTTTTTTAGGCTTCTTGGCGCTTACACTGTGCCTGTTCCGTTCCTACGGTCAAATCTTCAGCACAGTCCAGCACAGTGCTCCACCGCCTTGCTTACCTAAGCCAGGAACAAGAAGAGCAGGCAAAAAGCCTAACGTTAACTATCCGCCTCGTGACAGTGATTCGCACTTAGTCTTGTCACTGGTTTCACTAGAACCTCTGAATAGATAGAAGCAATTGTCGCGTATTTATTATAATAATACGGAATAATACGCTCGTGGGTGTTTTGTTCTACTCTTCTTACGCCTTTAGAGTTGACAGCGTCGACACAGCAACGTTATGGCAAATTAGGGGTGGATTACGTTACGTTATACCCATGACCTACATCTAATACATTAAGCAAAGAGAATATCTTATAGTTAACGATCCATATCTTTCCAAATATAGGCGAGATTGTTCATGCTAATCAGCGTGGCGGGATAATCGGCCGCAAGTTTATCTTACGAGTCTCCATCACTTGCACCTCCAGCTTCTCGGCCTCCTCCCGCCGGCCCTGGTTTCGAAACGTCGTAGCTAGGTTGGCCATAGATAGCCTGATCCAGTTCTCGTCGCAGATGAGCTTGACAAATCCCCCCCCGCGAATCTGATAACATGCTGCCCGACAAGGTCCAACAGGAAATACCGCCTGATCAGGAAATCCAAGATCTAGAACGTCAGCGCACAGAGCTAAAGGGCAGTCAGTTCAGAATCCACAGCGGTAATGATGAAAAGAGATTCGAGATTTTAGCCGACAAAATCAGGAACAAAGAGAATAGTGCAAGAAGAACGTAAAGACCGAATACCGCAAGTACCACTGCCAGAACAGTCCGACCTAGGACATCGAGGGACAGTTCAGCAGGGAGGCAGAAGCAGAGACCAAGATAGCGCCGGTCATCCAGCTTCACATACAGGAACGCGTCTAGCTGGCGAGGTTCTTTGTCAACCAGCCGGAGGATTTAGGTGACGAGAAGCTCCTCCGGTTGCGTATCCGGTCCGCCGAGCTTATAAGCGCCCTCAACCAAAGTCGAGAGGCTTCGAAGCGCACTGTCAGAGCATTCGATGAAGGGCGCCGGCCGATGGCAGAGTGAAAGAGGTGTCAGGAAAGGATGTTAAGGTACTGTCGACCGGCCGTCCTATACGACCGCTTTGACAGCGAGCACGCGTTGGAGTTGCGGGGTGCAAAGCACATATCCTGCAGCCATCCCAAGTTCATTGCACAGGTGCTGGAGTTTAAGCATTTGAAGCATATCAACAACTGAAGCAACCCATACTCCGCTCGGACCGGAGATGCTTGCGGAATCTTCACCGGACAGAAGCTTCATCACTTCGCCTTCGCCCTTTATATTCCTTGCCGCTGCTGTAATCAAGCCTTCTGTGCCCTTGTGCGTCGTGCTCAGTGAGAATACGTATCACATTTGCCTGACAATGAAGTTGAGCGATAGACACCGGTGATCTGCCCTCCTTGTCTGTATAACTCTGTTCAGCACCATGGTCCAGGAGCAACTTAACCACTTCGGAGTGGCCGTTTGCTGCGGCCCAGAACAACGGAGCCCGTCCAGACACGCTCCGTACGTTGACGTCAACGGCATCAGTCGCCAGGAGAACATGGACCACTGCTTCGTGCCCGTGTGAAGATGCGATCCACAAAGGCGTTACGCCGCGGATATTCCGTAGGTCTACAGGAGTACCGTTGTCCACCAGCTGACGAACAGCTGCAGCTTCTCCCGTTTTGGCGGCGTTGTAGAGGCGTGAGATATTGAGCCAGTTCCCTTTCTCACTGCCAATGTTAGAGCGCTGATCGAGGAAACGAAGGACCTGTTCCTGACCACTGGTGGCAGCTGCTTCGATCACCCCAGCAGTGACTTTCATGCGAATAGTCTGCTGGAGGAGTTTAATCAACTCATAGGCTGCAGATTCGTTCGAAACTGCCTCTTTAACCACTTCTTCGGTGATCTTGACCTCGGTGCCGCGCCGATCGAGGAGCAGTCCCATGATCTCTTTGCCGCTGCTCTCGTTCCCAGCCGCCGCCTTGACCACTTCTTCGGTGATCTTGACCTCGGTGCCGCGCCGATCGAGGAGCAGTCCCATGACCTCTTTGCCGCTGCTCCCGTTCCCAGCTGCTGCCTTGACCACTTCTTCGGTGATCTTGACCTCGGTACCGCGCTGATTGAGGAGCAGTGCCATCACCTCTTTGCTGCTCCATTCGTTCCCAGCTGCTGCCCTGACCACTTCTTCGGTGATCTTGACCTCGGTGCCGCGCCGATCGAGGAGCAGTCTCATGACCTCTTTGCCGCTGCTCCTGTTCCTAGCCGCTGCCTTGACCACTTCTTCGGTGATCTTGACCTCGGTGCCGCGCTGATCGAGGAGCAGTCCCATCACCTCCTTGCCGCTCCTCCCGTTCCCGGCTGCTGCCTTGACCATTTCTTCGGTGATCTTGACCTCGGTGCCGCGCTGATCGAGGAGCAGTGCCATCACCTCCTTGCCGCTCCACTCGTTCCCGGCTGCTGCTTTAACCACTCCTTCCGAGATCTGGACCTCGTCCCCTCGCCAACCAAGGAGAATTGTCATCACTCCTTGATCAAATGATGTCGCAATCCGGATCATCCCCTCTTCCGTAATCTGGGCATAGTCGCCTCTTCGCCCAACTAGGTCAGTTAACACTCCCAGCCTATCTGCCTGCTCGAATTTACTTCGACCTCTGCATGTCACCGCTAGGGTGTCCATAGCCGCTAGCGTGTGTGAAAGCCCTCTCCCGGATTCTCTTTTATGAGCATCTATTGCCTTTCGAAATATCTTCTCTGCCTTTTCATACTCCTCCAAGTCTCCTATCATCAACGCCATGTTCGCTAACCTAGCTGCCCTGTGTAGATGACTTTCCGACTCTTCAGTTGTATGCTTCAGTGCTCGGTTGCTTATGAGGTATTCGTAGTCCTCTCCATCTTCCGGCTTTCCGCAGGGCTTTTCCCAGTCCCAAACAAGTAGAAAATCACAGAGTAAGGTTGTTCTTGACCGTAAAAGGTCTGACGAGTCGGCGTCCGCCTCCTCAGTCTGTTCATCGCCCTTAGGAGTAACGGATATTGCAATGATGGCACAATAATCCTCGAGGAGCCTAATGATCGTAGGCCTTGCCGTTCCTTGCAAAAGGCAGATAACGTCACCGTCCTGGATGGGTTTCGCCGAGGCTTGGAGAGTCCAGCGAGCGTTCCTCTTTCCGCCCAAACGCCCAGGTACGTCCTTCAAAATGATCTCTACATTCTGTTCGTCAGCCCACTCTCTGTGGTCCTTCACCTTGGACACGCAGCCAAGAACCCAGCCCTTGGTCTCGATTGCCGCAATCTCCTTTTCCTCCCAAGTCTCCACAGATGCTTGTTCACCGACAAGAGACTTGACGAGTCAATGAAAGAGCTCTTTCCACGAGGTCTTGTCGTAGTCAGGCGACAGGCCAGTTGAGATGTAATCATCGGAGCTCATGCCGAGCAGGGCATAGACCTTGTCCCGACAATCCGTAGCCTCGCGGTTGTGGTACATATCCATCAGCTTTCCGAGAGGGCGTATATCAAGAGAGAACCTGTCTGGGCGACTCGTCGCGTATTTAGGTCGGAAGATTGCGCCATTTATTAGGTACGCGACCGAACGAAACCGGCTCTAAGTGTCTGGATCTTGAGAGGCGGGATTCAACATGTTCAGACCTGAGCAGAACGTATATCCGTCAATCTCTGCGGTATGACACATGATCAGGACCTGCCGAGCCGCAGCAACCTCCTGAAGTACCTGAAACGACTTCGTCAACGACTTCCGCCACTTCCGTCAAAGGGCGGTTGCCTTACCCAGATACGCTGGAACCACGACCGTTGAAGCAGCGTAAGGATTGCTTGTTGGTCCGTCGCCCTAGACAGGGTCTTCGTAGTCTGGCGATCTGCAGCCACACGTAATACTTCGAGCGCTCGGTCGCTATCAGTTGTGGCCTCTCCGTGCACTCGATCGCCGCCAGTCGTCGCCTCTTCCAGCCACACGACGACACGGCTTGCTTTCGCGTAGATCTTCGCCATGGACTGAACTTGGCGGTTCCGCTCTTCCGTATCACCTTGGTTGATGCCGATGGCGTCAACCCATATGATTCGGTCCAAAGAGTGATCTCGAAGGCGTTTCAGTGCCATGTAAAGATTTGTTGTGGCCGGAAGGTCACCCTTGTCTGTAGACACAGAATGGGGCTTTTCTTCCGAGCCCCATACGTAAGACAAAGCCTCGTACAGATGGGTCCCTTTCCCTGAGTCCAGGAAAGTGTAGTCGAAGAGCTGGCATTGTATCGGGGCACCCTCGTCTCGGTGCGGCATCAACCGTAGCAAGCGAATGCACCCCTCGGGCAAAGGAGTATAACAATATGCAGTCGACTTTGCGGAAGGCCGCGGAAAGATGCGGGTAATGCGAAGAAGGCATTCTAGAATGGTGTTTGACACGCGGGGGGGGGTTCCCGCTACTGGCCTTGATGGAAGTTGCATTCGGCGTGGGCAGGTCGACGGTCATCGGGAACCCGCCAACGCATGGTCGTGTCTGTACTCCGGCCGGAGCTGCGGCGTCGTGTTGTCGATTCCCGCGGCTATGGATGGCAATGACGTCGGTATCGGTGTCTCCCTTGTTCTTGACGGGGTTGACTTGACAGAGGCGGACGCACTGGCGTGTGGATCCTGTGGGATCCGAAGTGGGTCCTGCCGGAGACAACGATGCGGGGTTGGGAGGCGCGGACGTGGAATTAAACCATAGCCAGACGGCAACCGCAACGACAAAGAGGCAAAAGGCGGTTGTCCATCCGGCTACTGTATTCGGACGTCGCCCGACGTACACCTCCTGCCAGCATTCCGACCCCGGCCTCCTTTATCGTTCGTGCAAAGCATGCCGAACATGGAAGCTGAGGACGCCGGAAACTGGGATACAACAGCCCGGAAAATGGGACGCAACTGAAGGCCACGCTTGTGATCTTCAAATGGCGAAAACCGATTTTTTTTTTTTTTTACAGAGTCATGTGACCTATGGGTTAGGGTTAGTTCAAGCACTCCATTCGGTAACGGAGGGAGCTAAAACGGCAGCACAAGAGCTTCCACGACGGAGACGCTGGTCCAGATCTTATACGAAGACGAACCAACTAGGTCCACACCCCTTTGCTAGGACTGGACTTGGCACTCGTTATGCTCCACTAGCTCGCAGAAGCGGGCTGAGCCCAGCGAATAGCGATGATATATTTGCGCCTTCGAGAGGAAGCTCATAATGCTCCTACGCAGCTACTTCGAAGATAGGACTGCCCAGCTAGTCTTCGACGGCAAGAGATCAGAGAAAATCAGGCTCACCCAAGGGACACCACAGGGGTCACCCCTATCTCCTGTTCTGTTCATCCTATTCATGGTCCCCCTATACCGCGCCCTTGAGGCGCACACAGGGCTTATAACCGTCGGATACGCGGACGACACCAACCTGCTAGCATTTGGCCAAGATACTCAGTCATGCTGCCGGACGCTGGAAAGCGCCTACCAGATCTGCGAGGAGTGGGCTAGGGAGAGAGGCATGCAGTTCGACCCAGCAAAAAGCGAGCTCATCCACTTCACCCGAACACGGCGCCCACGCAACGAAGTAGTCAACATACTAGGAGGCGAGCAACCAGGTCTGGCCCCCGTGGAATCGGCTAGATTTCTTGGGGTCTGGCTTGACCGGAAACTATCGTTCAAGGCACACCGCGAGCAGGTGGGAACAAGAATGGCAACCCAGATGCTTGCACTCACAAGACTCACTGCGAAGACGCATGGCGTGCGCATCGCAAAGGCTCGGGAGATATACACAAAGGTGGTCAGGAGCGTCCTGTCATACGGGGCGACGGCCTGGCACACACCAACCGCACTCGGTGGGACACCGCGAGGGCTTGCACGCAATTTCCAAACGATACAGACGCGCTGTCTGAGAGTAGTGACCGGGGCCTACAAGGCCACTCCAGTCCGCAATCTGGAAAGCGAGGCCTGGGTGCCCCCTATACGACCTATACCTCAACAGCTGGGTGGCGAGGACCGAACAGCGGCTACAAAGGACTGGGATGGCGGAGCTCCTGCGCACCACATGCGCAGCGGTGACATCCCAACTGCGGCGACGCAGGACCCGGAGGAACACGAGAACCCTGGCGGCGGAACCCACCCTCCAAAAGCAAAAGTGGGCTAAGGAGTGGCTGCAGGCACATATCAGGAGCAGCGAGGACGACCAACAGACGCCGGACAGGGAATGGACGGAACTAGACGCGGATGTGACGACTATCGAAGAATGGAAGGCCCGCCGCAAGGCACAAATGGAACGCGCAGACGCGCAGCGCCCACGTCGCTACAAGGAGGCAGCCGACCTCTACAGCCTCGACCCCCCCGCACGCCCGCTGGCAGCCCACGAAGGACTAAACAAGGCAAGGAGCTCACTCCTGACACAGGCTCGCACAGGAGCAATAGGCCTGAGGGAGTTCCTCTTCAGGAGGCGAGTCCCTGGAATACCCACGCCGTTATGCCTCTGCGGGGAAGCACCAGAGACGGTGGCTCACCTGGTGCTTAGGTGCCCGGACCGGGAGCTCGAGGAGGGGAGACCGCAGCTCAGGGACAGACACGCCCTGGTAGAGGCGCTAGGGCGCTGCTCAGAGGCAGCGCGGGTTGTGGCATGGCTCATGAGACTCGGACGGCTACAGGAATACCGGCTTGCGATGGAACTGGAACAGGAGGAGGAGGGGAATCCAGGGCCAGACCGGGAGACGGAGGACCTAGGAGAGGCCAACAGGAGGAGGAGGGGGGGGAGACGCATAGGGCTCTAGCGCTGAGCCAAAGCCATCGGCGCGCAGCCCACGCTGCGCGCTAGAGTGACGCACAAGGCCGGGATGGCCACCCACAGCACCGTCGTCACCAAGCCGGAAGGATGAGTTCCGGACTGTGGGATATGAGGGTATACAGGGAACGCCTACACAGCGCTTGCGCTGTGAAGGCGCAGCACGTGAGAGGTTGCATTGCATGTACAGTCACTAGCGAAATCGGTTTTTACTCACTCTTCAATTGTCTGGAGCCCCCATTTTGGGCCTCTTGGCGCTTACACCGTGCTTGCTCCCATGGGTCAAATATTCAGCACAGTCCAGCACAGTGCGTCTTTGCTCTGTTGCATAGGTGTAACCTAAAGGTCCTGCTGCTGACTGTTATAACGTTCTTCAGATCAGGGCACATGTTTCCCGTAACGTACTGTACAGCCTCTACACGATTCTTATAAATAAGTTAACGTTAACGTTAAACATAAACAACTTTTTAAAGGCTGTGATCGCATGCATTTTCATACAGGTTCTTTGAGCTGTTTTGTAATACCTGCAGTTCTTCTCCAACAGACATGGCCGTCAAGAGGTATAGTGACTGGCAGTGCTCTCAGGTTGGCGACGAAGCCCTGAAGATGGAATACCGGAAGGCTTGTGACTTGACCCTGGCTGATGGTCTGGACCTTGAACAAGTGTATAAAGATCAAGATGCCGGGTTTTATATTGAGAATGGCGTGAAGAGAGGCATTGCACGGCGGTTCGTTAGTGATATCGAGACGTGGGCTAAGCAACACTGCTTCTAGAACACAAGCGGTTCGCTAAGAAGATGATGTAGTCTAATTTACTGTCCTATATATACATTATGGTTCTTCAATGCAAAGCCCAGCGTTGCGGAAATGCCCTGCTGCACTCGACCCCCTTGCTCCCACGGTGTCGACACACCACTCCAAGAAAGCTCCAAAGTCCTGATGTGGCAAATCTCCATGGACGTGCCAATTCCGCTTGATGAAGGCCTTTAACTCCGCGAAGAACTCTTCAATGGGGTTCAAGTCTGGCGAGTAAGGAGGGAGATAGAGCAGCTTTACCCCAGCCGCAGCGCAAAGCTGATCGATTCTGTCCGAGCGATGGAATGAAGCATTATCCATCACGAGAACTGACCTTGGTTCTGGCCATTTCCCGCAATGGGGCAGTAGCTGTTCAATAAAGTCTCAAACACGACGCTGTCAGTTGATCCCTGAAATACTTGGGCAAGGACGACGCCGTCCTGCGCGTATGCAGGAAGAATTTGATACCTCCGACCTCGGTGGAATCGAGCAATTTGCACTGGTGACACCCCTAAGGGAGACCACCCAGTACGCCTGAATCCAGCCCGCCTGTCACACCCAGATTCATCAATGTACACCAAATGGTACGAGCGAAACTCGGAGAGGTTGTGGAAGTAAAGGTCTCTCAGCTCTGCACTTCGTTCTTGTGCAACGCGACGTACGGTTTTCTTGGACCAACCCGCCTCTCTCAATGCCCTGCTGATGCTGTAGGTGGTCACTAAGATTCCAAATTCGTCCCAGAGGAACACCACCATCTCGTCCTGGTACATGTGCGGCTTCTCGATCAGTCGGTGGCACAATGCGCGCAACATGGGCGGCGTGATGCTTCTCGGCCGTCCAACCCCGTTGGCTGGCGCCTTGCTTGTCCCAAAGCATCGAAGATTCGCTCGGATGGTTCGAATGGAGCGCGTACTGCAGCCGGCTACGCCGGCGATCTGAACATCGGTGAGCGAGCTGCTCAGGATCATGTCTCGAATTTGGCCATGTTGAGAAAGCAAAAGATTTGGCGCCATGGCGACGAGTAGCGTGGCTTCGCAGGCTAAGATTGCAATGAAGCCAGCGATTGCTTGCGGGGCGGCGTCGAGAAATCTGGGAAATGCTGCACCGGAACGAGGCCGGGCGAGTGTTGAGTCCAAGGTCACGTGGTCTACAGGTGCTTAATTCAGCACACCCTGAATGCAGGGTCGCAAAACGGGGATCCAGGAACCTGGCATGCTTGATCTCGTGCTGAGGCCCACCTGGAACTCCACTAGACCAGGCACGATCTGGCGGACCGAGAACGTTTCGATCCGCGGCGGGAAGCCGCAGCAAGCGGGCCGGCAGGACACGATCTATCGGAACGATTGCTCGCGATGGCTTCCATGGCGCTGAAGTCTCCCCAGGGTTGGTTCAGCCTTACCGGTTAGCGCCAACAAGGCTGTGCTAAAATTAGCTCGTTCCAAAGTCGTCAGGCTGCAGAAGAGGGGTCCGGGCAGAGGGCAGGGTGAGGGCTCAACTTCGCAAACACACTTCACCTCGCCGGAACCCACATTGACAAAATACAGGCCGCTTGCCTGTGCCTCGCTCGCCGCGCCGCCTCCGCAACCATCCGTATCGCCATGCCCGCCACGGACCTCCGCCTGCTCGCCCTCGACGGCGGCGGCGTGCGCGGCCTGTCCTCCCTCATGATCCTCCGCCGCCTTATGGCCACCGTCGATCCTGACGCCCCGCCTAAGCCCTGCGACTACTTCGACATGATCGGCGGCACCAGCACCGGCGGCCTGATCGCCATCATGCTGGGCCGCCTGCGCATGACCGTCGACGAGTGCATCGACGCCTACACTACGCTGTCCGACAGGGTATTCGAGAAGAAGAGCCATCGTGTAACCATCAAAGGCAAGCTCCAGGGGCGGTTCGACGGCGCCGAGCTGGAGCGTGCAGTCAAGACTATCGTAGTCAACCGCGGCCTCGGCGAGGATGCACTGCTCAAGGACCCTGATTCTCCTTGCAAAGTGTAATCTACCCCTGCATCGGACCTGCGGACGGTCTTCACTAACTTCTGCCAGTTTCGTCTGCGCTACGAGCAAAGAGACTGGCGATACTGTGTGCCTGGCCAACTACCGCTCCCCGCGCAGCGACAACTCCGACCTCCTCAACACCACCACGATCTGGCAGGCCTGCCGCGCGACATCGGCCGCGACAACCTTCTTCGACCCGATCGCCATCGGACCCTTTAACGAACAGTTCGTCGACGGAGCGCTCGGCGTGAACAACCCTGTCTACGCGCTGTGGAACCAGGCCCAGGACGTGTGGGGCGATCAGCTGCGGGGTAGTCTCAAATGCCTCGTCTCCATCGGCACGGGCCTTCCCGCACTGCAGCCTGTGCGCGACGACGTCCTCGGAATCTGGGCCACGCTGAAAGATCTTGCGACGGAAACGGAGAAGACAGCACAGCAGTTCCATCGCGACAAGTCGCACCTCGACGATGAAGGACGCTATTACCGGTTCAACGTGGACCGCGGGCTCGAGGAGATCGGGCTCGAGGAGTCGAAGAAGAAGACGGAGATTGCGGCTGCGACGCGCCGTTATGTCGAGTCGCAGGCTGTGTTCAAGCAGATGAAGGCGTGTGGGAACAATATTGCGCGACGAGAGTGTTAGTCTAGCTATTCCCAGCTCCTTTATATAAAAAGCTCCACGTAGCCGCTGACCAGCGCATCAGATTACGGCACGTACCGAACGCCGTTCAGCCTGCAAGGCGTGCCGGTCTCGAATCACTTCGTCGCCCGACCATACGCTACCGCCGAGCTCGAAGAGTGCCTTCTCCCGCGACGCCGTTCACAAGAAACAAAACGACGGATATTCGTCCTATACGGACTCGGTGGGATCGGGAAGACGCAGCTGGCGGCCGACTTCGCCCGACGGCACCAGGCCGTTTTCAGCTCGGTGTTCTGGCTGGATGGCCGATCGGAGGACCGGCTGAGGCAGAGCCTTGCTAGCTGTGCAGCCAGGATACCGGAAGGCCAGGTTTCCGAGAGGAGTAGGAAGGCTGTGTTGCATAGCGAGGAGGATCTCAAGGCTGTGGTGGCGGACGTGTTGGACTGGCTCGCGCGACCGGACAACAGCGACTGGCTCCTTATCTTCGACAACGTTGACCAAGACGTCGATCGGGGCAGCGAGACGGGCGCCTACGATGTCCGGCGGTATCTGCCCGGCGACCATGGGTCGGTACTGATCACTACACGGCTATCGCGACTCGCACAGCTAGGCCATTCGACGCGGTTAAAAAGGGTCGATGAACAACAGAGCAAGGCCATTTTCCAGCAGTGGCGCGGGGCGGAACTAGGTGAGATTTCCGCTCTATCTGCGTTCGGCCTGGTGCTGATAGACCATAGCTATGGACGAGGCCGGTAGGGAGCTGCTCGGTCTGCTCGACGGCCTTCCGCTCGCGCTGGCACAGGCCGCCTCATATATCCGCGAGACCGGGCTCGATACCGCGTCGTATGTTCGGCTCTACAAGCAGCAGTGGGACGATCTGATGGGATCGGACGGGGAGTCGGGCTCGCCGCTGGTGGACTACGAACAAGGAAGCGTCGCGACAACGTGGACCGTATCGTTCAAGGCGGTTGAGGCACAAAACAAGAACGCCGCGAACCTGCTCCGTCTCTGGGCCTTTGTCGACGGCAGAGACCTTTGGCACGGCCTGCTGCAGGCGGCTGTGGATGGCGGAGAGCAGTGGCCTGGATGGCTGTGTGACGTCGCAGGCAACGAGGTCCGGTACTTGAACGCGGTTCGACTGCTGCTCCGGTACTCGATGATCGAGTCTCAGGAATCAGTGCAGGGGAGCCATATGATGCATCCGGTGGTGCATAGATGGGCGTCGCACATACAAGATGGCGCTGGGAAAAGAGAGGCCCTGCGGCTGGCGGTGATGGTAGTTGGGTTATCGGTGCCCAGCAGTACGAGCAAGGACTACTGGGTAGTCCGGCGGCGGCTCCTCCCGCATGCGGAAAGGTGCTCATGGTGGATAGGAGAGATATATGAGGCGGGACAGAGCTTTGACGACACGACGGTGATAGACGCAATGCATATGTTGGGCCTCCTCTACGCGGATCAAGGCCGGCTGGCGGAGGCCGAGTCGATGTATCAGCGGGCGCTGGAAGGCTACGAGAAGGCGCTCGGACGGGACCACATATCGACTCTCCATACGGTCAATAACTTGGGCAACCTCTACAAGGATCAAGGCCGGCT